AAATAATTACNTTGTTATGCTCTAATTACTTTATTACCTGAGAAGAAGAATACATAATATATATGCTAACGTATTATGCATCAATTTGAGGCTACCATTTCACCGTTATAAGTGCTGCATTAGTTACCAGCAGCAGCAAAGACTGATTATTTTGAAAAAACTAAAATTACACAAGATAATGAGATTAGTTGTTTAGAAATCGCCCACCTTCAATTGAAAGCTACCATTATACTAGAATGATTTGTGAACTTGTAAGCATCTACCAAGTAAAAAAAGTAGCCAAACGATGGTATAATTCTTATATCAGCATACACCTTAAAGCATAATCTCACAAATTCGAAGGTTTACTAAATATTATATACTCATCTTTACTGAAAACAATATTTTAATAATATAGTTTAAAGAACGATGACAACCGCTTAAGTTCTATAATTATATTTTTACAGAGCAATGTTAGGGACTGTTTCTGATAAGATATGGCAACGAAATAATGAAAACAGCTGGCTCGCTCATTTAAAGTTTACTCGCAGATTTTACCAAGGAGCCAATACGTTTTCATAATTCCAAGCCCCTAATGATGTAAAGAACGTTTTCCTTACAGTAATATAAGATTTTAGGTAGCTATGCAAAAGAAAACTGTTGCAAGTAAGATGTCTTAAAGACATTTAATCCAACTTTAAGATACCTTAATATTCGTCTGTCCTCTATATTGCAATGTATACGAGCCACTTCTAGCAAGATTTCGGAAAGTAACCTGACTGCAATGAATTTTTGATGCTGAAAGGTTGCGACGGAAATTTAATATTAATATCAAAATGCAATTATTACCTGTCATAATGTAATTATTGATTATTTACTTATTAGCTTAATAATAATTCGCAATATCTCGTTAAATTTAGTTTTATGTTTTTGCTTGTAAATATTAATATGCGGGCTTGAAATTAGTGCCGTAAGCTGAACTTGAAATCGAAAATATTATAGATGGCTTCCAATTATAGTAGAGCCAGTATTCGCGTTAAATCAATCCGATTAACTGGATTGTTAAAATCGAATTTAGCTAGATTGCAATAAGATTCAGGCCCCAATCAGTATCTGTAATAAACTATCGGCAAGAAGAACTCTTGATTTACTTGATTTATCTGCTTATAAACTCTTTCATGCCTTGAGCATATAAATTGAAATAGTATAATCCCGCCGTATAAAAATGAGTATACGGTATCTATACGAAGGCATTACTTTTGAGGATGATATTCTATGACCGGTGAAACTAAATAGTAGCCTGACAGAAGGGTTAACTCTAAATCATTCTTACACTACAGGCAAACCTACAATGTAGTTAATTTCTAGTGAAAAATTATTGGATTGCTATAGAAATTTAAAGGCTATTTATTAAGTATGACATTTATCTAATTAACCCATTTATCACTAATTTGTTATCTAGATGTCCGGTTTAGTTAATAGTATCACTAAAAAGGTGCTAATAAAGCAGAATCGTCGACTGTACCTAGGCTACTTGATTCCATTCTTGATGCAGTATTAATAGTATCGCCAAACAAACAATATCTTGGCATTTTAATACCAACAATTCCGGCAGCACATGGGCCTACAACGCACATACGATATGTATATTATATAGGTTATATATATAATATATATGTGTAAAACAATACATAATGATCGTAAACCTATAGGTTAAATCTATCACGGAATTAGCTGTACCATGGCTTATAGTGTACGCTCTAGACGTTATCGCATCAAAAATATTAACGCCAAATCAATATCCTAACCTGTATGAATCCCAGCACGTAATTGCAACGGAAGACTCGAATTATGTGGTATCTTTAAATTCCGGACTGTATCGAATAAATCCAATGCCATGTTTGCAATTTCGATAGCATGCTGATTTCTTGGCAATCTTACTGGTAAACCAGATGCAACCATGTAATCATCACCAATGGTTTCTACTTTGTAGACGTTGTAATTCTCAATTCGAGTATCAAACTGAATATATAATTCATTTAGCATATCTACAATTTGCATAGCTGTACTCTCTTTGCAAATTTCAGCAAATCCGACAATGTCACCAAAGTATAATGTCGCACTATCAAATGCTTCAGCTGTTACACATTTTCCCTCTTTAAGCTGTTTCACAACTGATCTTGGCAACATTTGACAGAGTAATGTATCCGTCTTTCTCCTTTCACGAATTAATACATGAGTTTTAGTAGCAACATTAATAGCATATAGCTGATATTTTCTTGTTAATTTTATAGTTCGAAACAGCACCAGAGGACAGACAATAACTGTACTAACCAATAAAGCAAGAGAAATTAAGAAAGCTACATTAGCACAGTGGCTAATATAATTTGACTGAGTTACAATATAATTAGCAAGTTCTTTTTGAATTAAATACAAATGGTTGATGTGAATAGTAATATTTTTGAACCAATAATTGGCATCTGCCATAGATGGTTTGTGAAGAGCATTGCTAGATATTATTCCTCTAAAATGCTGTACTTGCATATAGACACTGCCATTAACGCCCTGAATATACGAATCGTAACGATTTCTAACTAATTGTGAATATCGACCTGCAGATTCAATATTACTTATGCCAAGTTGTAAGTTTGAATAATATAACATTATTTCTTCATGATTCAATTTCTTATTCGCATAGTAAACGCTACCTAGAGATCTCTCCATGCCAGCTTGCTCTATACCATTTATTAGCATCCGAAATGCAACTAAATGATTCCATAGCTGATTTTTTTTAATTTTTTGTAACTTATCAATAGTCCAAGCAAATATCTCAGCAATTATATCAGAGTAAAACTCAAGTTCATGTAAAACAGTGGTATTCAAGCGATTGGCTACTTGACTGTGATGGTGCGATAAATAGTCTTCCAACGCAGTACCATTTCTTAAATAATAAACGGGTACATGATCAGTTAGCCATAGCTGAATATGCTTTATTGCTCGAATAGTTTGACGTCTTTGCTGAAGAAGGGGTTCAAAGATTTGATCGCTAAAGTTACTGCTTACCAACAGGACTGTTTGACTTCGTTCGATTTGTAAGGAATAAATTAAATTTCCAAGTCTTACGCTTAATGATAGTTCGTTCTTAATTTGGATACCGTCATCATTCCTGACCTTATCAGAAATTAAATTATTAGTGGCTATAGCGGCTAAAGCAACGCAAGGAATTAATAATAAGAGGAAAAATTTTAAAATTTGATTCCGGCTACCAGTAGTCTTAGTTAGATCGTCATTGAGACACAATGTTCGTTTACCAAATTTATAGTATGAGAGTGTAGTATTCGACGCGCTGTTTGACATGTCCTCGACATTTCTGCTCTTAGTGAGGTCGGAATATTCACTAAACGTATAAGATTTACTAACTGTATGTTTGAAACGATCTCTTCCTGAAATAGCCATGATTTTCCTAAACTTTTTATGTTAAGAAGGTTAGAATTTTAGTTTACGGTAGAGTCTTGTTTATTGAAACACTTTTAGTACCAATTACGATATACAGTCTTTAGGTATATGAAAACAGAGAAAAGTATTTGCTAGGATCAATTGTATTTATTCTCTAAATTTTTCTTGTTTAGGCCATTCTTTTCCCTCATATCCTTTTCTATTTTTACCTTTAGAGCTATGATAATCAGTTTTGTTTAGCAATTAAAAATTAATAAAATAATTTATACTGGTTACCTGCTGCAGACGATAATGAAGTATCGTACCGAGAATTCCCACCTATCCATCTATCTATAATTCATGCCGTTGCCTGTAGTACTATATTAATATACTCTAATCTATGGAGTATATCTACCCAAATATAAGCAATAACTTAAAGTATTTAAAGTGTTAATGATCGTAGTTATCTTAAAAGGGTAATGAATAACATTAAATCGCCCCAAAAAAATGAAAATACACTCACGTAAATTTTTTTACCACATTAACAATTAATAATGGCGAAAGATCAAGGCGCCATTTAATAAAATTTTGAAAAGAAATAATTTTTATGTTACTATTACTGTGCTAACACGATAAGAATAGATTAAAAAATAAAGCAATATATATCACATCAATAATCAACTCAGTAATTATGATATCAGTCATATGAAGTAGACTGGACCTGGAATTTGTTGGAAATTGAAAGGCAGCAGTTCAAAGGAAAGTCGAATAATACATCAGAATATCAAAATACAGAAATTCTAACTTTCAATATTATAAATTATTTATAATAGCCAAGTTGCTTAGCCAACAATTATCATAGGTGTTCATTATTTTTGGAAATAAAAATAGTTGTGCATCAATTCTATTTCCTTAATAAATGAGGCTGAGGTTATATTCTCATTATTTTTTAAATAAAATCAAGCCTGTAAAAATAATTAACTACAGACTAATGTCATACTTGCTGTCCTCCCTATTTACCAACAGTATGTCACAAAAAGAGTACTGGTGACCTTTCATCATCAAGAATCCGAAACAAGCACATGTCTCTACACAGGAAAAAATACAAAATTCAATTTTCGTTGACATTTTAACTATTCTATACCTTAGCAAATATTCAATTAACTTTGCAGATTATAGAAAGATAACATTATTTATGCACATCTTTAAAAAGTATAGATAAAAAGTATTAAAAGTAAATACAAGTTAGTAATTTAATAAAAAAAATTATAGTTATACCTATAGTCACTCGTGCACCATTCTATTAATACTACAATAGCTTTTCAATAATTGACTAATTCAGTAATTATTAATTGGTATAGGCTATTCATCAGTGCTCCATGCAATCCTATTGATAAATTTATTAATAATAGCTCTCTAGTCCTTGTTCGACCACTTTCATTGACTGCAATGATTATTTCTAATAAGCAGCAGTCTTCTTCACTATACTCGGTTAAATGCCTCAAAACTACTTGTGTAGAAGCTTTAATTGGTAGCTATACTCATTTAACGATCTTTTTGAATCCACCGACTCCACAGAAATGATGCTATTGAAATCTCTAATCCTCATCATTCAGATAAATAAATCAAGTAGAAGGTTTTAACGAAAATATAAAATAAATCAAAGCTTATTTGGCTGAGATATCGTATCGATTAACTTAATAATAATTTTACAAAACCATTGGTAAGAGAGAGAAGTAACTTCTATTATAGAACTACGTTAGATAAGCTACTGATAATATCTCAGATCATTTTAGATGCAAATGAAATAGCAAGTGTATTACAAAACTAATCGCTATTCTTCATAATAACCACATCGATAATATCACATATATCATTCAAAATGTTTGTGTGTCTCAGATATCACTTGAATATTTATTTTTATATCTATTAGCCCACACTTTCCTATTTAATATTATCGATTAAAATTATACGTTAGTTTTACGACCATACTCATTCAGTAATGTGTGCGTGTCACGTTCTGTAATAGTTACATAATTAGTATGTTACCTTCTTTCTATATATGGTTAAATATCACGATGTTATTATCACGTCATGCGTATATAGATGTAGTTATGGTACTATATTAAGCTTATCTATATATGTATTCTCATGTTGCCATACTCGGTATGATATCCTATTTGTAATGACTAAACTAGGGAAACCTTTCTGTTGGTGATGATCTTGTGATCTACGTCAGTAGATCAAAGGTCACAATAAAGAAAGTATATAAACTCTTCGTTTTAACAATAAAGTTAGTTCTTCAACTTAATTACTGGGTCTCCTTGCTGAGTGCAGATCTAGTACTTGTTACAAAATTTGGAAGTTGTAACAGTGCGATAACAAATAAAATGTAAATTATATTTAAAGTTAATATTACAACTTATGTAGGAATAAAATACAGCTGCATGATTACTTTGAATACTTTTAAAATATGTACTCTATAGCTTTGCTGAATGATCTAAATACAGTAAAATTCATATATGCCTCCAGGTCTGATTCGGAAACTTTAAAAACTGGCTAATATTTCAATTGCCTAAGTGGATTGAAATACTAGCGTTTGCTATAGGGTGATCGTCTACACTACCATTTCTGGAGGATGTTAGAAAAGCCATTTAATTCTATCGACATATAGTATTGTGGTTTTCCATATTACTTAGTTATAATTTAGCTATAAAAATCATATATAAGGCCATAAGCATTAAATACAAATTTCTAGATATTAATACTTAAATAATTCTATCAATATCTCTGTATTCTGGTATTCATATTGTGACTAGATAAAAACATTTAACTACGATTAATTTTACAAGCAATAAATAAATTTTACTACTTCAATGAATTATAAAATAAAACATTCATCTTTACAAAAGCTCAAGATAATTAAATGTTTGGATCATAAACTATGCATAAGAAAATTTCAATATACATATCTTAATACCTAACGATTATGTTAATACTTTTGGGCCCAGGATCGTAGGATAAATTTGAGTTTACCTATGTGTCTTAGAATTAATTAAGTTCCCGTCATGTCTGCAATTCTTTGATATCAGTCCTTTATTTTACTCTTTAAAGTAAATCACAAAGTTTGTATAACCTACTTAACTATTTAAAGTAATCAAGCAACTGTATTTCAGCATCGGTTAGCAGAATCATCAGAACAATCTATCATTATAATTAGAGCAAAAAATAATTTAAAAATGCAATGCGTAATCTTACGCAAAATCCGTCTTCAATATATTTGAACTAGAGTTTAATTACATCACTTTCTACGCAGAGAAACAATTTTTGCTATTTTAGATGATTTTTAATAGAAATTTCAAACAATCAACATCTTAAATTTATCAAGGAGTTCCAAATTATTTTAACTCACTAAAATGAATTCTGCAAAACCAGGACAAGTACAATGTATGTGATTAAATTAGCTTAATGAACATATATCTTAATTAAAATTTAATAATACTAAACGATGAGTAATTTATTAATGAACTTGTAAATAATTAATTAATCAATTAATAAAATAATTTCATTTATCAGTTTGCGGTTATGAATAAATTGACTAGTTTTTCATACGAATACATCGATATTGTATGCATATGTCACGATGGCTTTTGCAGGGACTACTTAAAGAAAGAGAGGGGCTGTCAACAATTTTTATTGAAAAAAAATGTAGAGGCTGACTATTCTTCTGGTCATTTCGCTATGTCACAAAGCTGGAACCACCATACACCGTTAGTGTGCAATCAACTTAGTAATCACCTCGGAGCATAGCCGTAAACAGTACAGCATATGGTTTTAGATGTATATATGTTATATAGATCATTTAAAATGACCAGAGAAAGTCAGCCTCCACATTTTTGGACAACGAAAGTCGTTGATAGTCCGTCTCTCTTTCTTTTATTACTATAGTCTATAGTCTCTGGCTATTACTACTTATAAAGCTTTATCTATAAAAGAAATAACTTTAAAGGCTACTAAAAACCATAACTAATGTATTTTCCTGCTATTATAATTGATATAAAAGCGCCACTTTAAATATAGGCTATCATAGCACATATTTTAATTAAACCTGTTTATACAATCAAAAAGAGACAGCTTAACAGAATTACCTAAGTATCATAAATCTAGCAATGTCATTCCACGAGTGTGTCAACAAATTAAACAAGAAAAGATTTCACGAATGCTACGAAAGACTACAAGTAAACAAAATAAGAGTAAAATTCTAAATTAAAGGCTTCAGTTTTACTAATTCCTTAATATAAATCATTAAATAGAGCATACTTGTATGTTGAACCAATTTCGTTTCTTAATAAATTCTAAATTCTAAATTCTAAATTCTAAATTCTAAATTGTTGTTGACATTTTAAAATAAATTCGATCAAATTTCTAAACCAATGTAATTTTTAAAGATTTGATCAGAACATGATCTGTTTATTAAATTGATTAACTTTATATTATTCTCAAGTTACCCTTATCAAGCATTGATAACTAAATCTTGCTTTGAGCAGATGCAGTATATACGCGTACACTCAATAATGAAAAAGAATTTAGCAACAAAAATCTGGCATGGATTAGTACAGATGATCCTCTTTTCTAAGCACAGATCATAGGAATTATAAAACAACCAGATTACTATCCAATAATTTCTTATTTATTGGGTGATGATAATGATAGGCACTGTATAAACTAAGCGAGGTTATGTACGCAGGTCTTGAAAATGAATAATATTAAAATGTGAAAATAAATTCAATAGCAAGCTCGGTCAGTAAAAATTTAAAACAGACCATAATTTTTTAGCTATTAACCTTCTTCTTCAAACTGGAAATTTGTAGGCTTAAATAAATTATGTAGTACTTTTGTAGCCTTGTCGATGATACCGAAGTAAACCAACATTATAAATTAAAGTGTACATCGCCTAGTACGCAGCATACGCGTATACGGTAAAAAATAATGACAATCGGCTTTTATTACTCTTAACACTGCAGATGAAGAGAGCCAGTAAAAGCTGCAGTCCCATTAACACTGCGGGTTCATTGATAGTTCAATAAATGAATTATACTTTCATATCAGTACGTATATTTAAGCCAATTATGCAGTACTTTTTAGATTTTATGGGAGCTGGTGGGTGGAAACGGGATGCAGTCTTGACCAATTATACTCGTTATTGGAAAGGCTAATTAATACTTTTGTTAGTTTGTTTCCTATCATAGAATGATCTTATTGGCCTGATTCTTGATTCTAAATCGTTTTGATCATAAAAATTGATAAAATTTTAACAGATCGCTTTTATTATTAGTGTTAACTCTCCGCAAAAGGGTTGAATTTAATGATATAACTAACGATCAACATGTATAACTGAGATTACTAGAGCTCATAAAGTACTCCGATTATGATTATTGGATAGTATTTCATATTGAATTCTACAATAATAAGCTATCGCTCCTTCAAAGCAAGGTCTGTGATAGTTTTAACTTACATTTATTTCCTATTATTTCTTAAATAATGACGGATGATATTAATTATGCTACTTCTCATTGATATAGGACTGAAGATTTTGTCATACGAAATTGAAAAGACTGCAGTATCTCTGCCAGCGAAGTAACAAGACATTAAGCTAATAAATAACTGAGCAAGACAAGCTAGATTTGTCTAAAGTGCGATAAGACTGTAAAAGTATCTCCATTTAAGAACGACTTAGAAAGTATATATTAAGTACACGCTACAAGTTCAACACAATCTTTATACACTACAGTAACAAAAATTAGGTAACCCTAAAATGCGGTAACTCTCTAAACTTTTTTACGTCTTTGGCATTCAATATCCCTTAACTACTCTCGGAAACTAAGAATATTTTCATGCTATACGACTAGAGGATTGATTTTTGTTCTATTATCTGTCGGACTTAAGTACTCTTCGGAAGAAGCTAGCATTAATCAATCATCACGATATTCTAACAGTTAGGTCATACTTGACAACCAAATTATTACAGAAGTGTATATAGCCAGTGACTACTACTAGATAACTGGACTACAGTAATTCCACTCTCTGAATCATTTACAGCATAACCTTATCACTATAAATATTATGCCCTCTTTCACAAGGATTGTAGAGACAGGTTGAGGATGAGGGAAGGAGCTTTATTAATAAGGTAATTGCTGATAGTTACTCAGACAGAAAGGAGCATCGAATGAATATGTAATTCATATTCAGTACCAGATAATATAGTTACCGAACATACTGTTACAGTTACAACTAGTTTTGCAATACAGAAACCGCTTCCAACAGTAGTTGAGCACAGATACCAGCCTTTCACTAAGATCAAAACTAGAACTCTTTTTATTATACCTTCTATCTATTCACAAGCGGCTATAGCACATATAAACAGAATAGAGAGAAGCTAAACAATATCAGCTGTCGAATATCGTTAGACCTATATTAGTATAATTTAAAGCTATACCTTAAAATTCGTTAGGTGCATATGTAATGCGAGATTAACCATAATCAGAACACGATCTTACTTTTGAGCTATCTAATAAATTAAACATCTAACTAATTACTAACAATTTCAATCTACATGCGATATATAACACAATTCGTCGCGGTATGAGTACCGTGAAAAACCTATAAACGATTATATATTATCAATCAATCACAAGGGGCAGTATAAGATGGGATAATCTATCAATGTCAATTACTAGATAAGAATTCTTATTACGGACAGTATATATTGTTGTCACGGTACGAACTACCGTGAAGAAATAGCTATCTAAATTTGGTTAATATAATATAGTGATAATATATTACAACTAGTTACTTACAATACGAATTACTCTAATTATAAATGTGTTACGGTAAATTTAATATTGCGCTGTAATGTGCACTGAAATGATTCTGTGAATGGACATGTTGTAATCTAACTATGAAAAATTAGTTAGTAGATGTTCTCACTTAAGTATTTTTATAAGATAACTCATGAATGTTAGCTGCTGTAGAAGGGTATATAAGCCCGTCAGATAGTTGAATAAAGTAGTTCTCAATTGTATAGTTGTTTTAACGTAGAAGCAAAGACGTCTTAATTCTTGTGAGGCAGTTAAGGGATACTGAATCTTGGAGACTATAGTAATTTGGAGATTTGTTTTACGTTATCCTAGTCACGAAGCTGGTTTGTGACTATTGTACTGTAAAATTATAACTATATCGATTCGTATGGTAAGCAAATTATTGTAATCACCATATGAGAAGGTAAAATACACTAAATTGACTCATCTGATCCTTCACGCTAGTTGGTACTGCGATAGCAATATGTGAAGTAAAAGGGAGTTTGTTGCAATTTTTGGGTTATCTGTAGGAGAAAAGTACCAACGTAATTTAATTTAATTTAAATACTTCACTTTAGCTAGCTTTATCGATGAGTTAATTTGTGATACTATCCTTCATCATAGTTTATAACAGAACGCTCTAATAATAATTAAATAATTATAATTATAATTAATAAAATCAACAATTGAGAAAAATGATTCAATTTTTGTTTAGTTCAGGCTACGTTCAATTGTATTGAGTATAAAATGATTGATAACATTATGAATGTGTTTATAGAAGAAAGAAAGTTTAATTGCTAAAGAAAAAAAAAAGTTGTCACTTATATAGGAATTATATTCATAGGAAAAATAGAATGCAATCATACATTTTTAATGACAGACTGTAGGAAATAATTATTATGATGTAGAAATAAAAAATGTCTACTGTAAGAACAAGCACACGACAATCATAAATGCGATCATATAGGGCGTATGATTTGGATGTTAATTTAAAGGTATAAATGAAGCATCTCATTTTCTAGATAAAATACTACCTTGATTCTAATTATCGCCAGATGGAAATCCTTACTTATTACAGCGGAGCACCGATATTTTATATCTACGTTAAATATGTCGGCAAACGTTGACTTTTGCTAATAATAAAATTGAAGATTTGGTAAATTATGCGACGGATTATATATCAGTAGTATTCATTAAATAGAATACTCATAGCTAGATGAGAATTAAAATGTAAAGGCAATAGAAAGAAAACATGAAATCAATAAACTCTTTCTTCGCATATATCGGCAGTTGTAAATCTGACTAATTAGTTTATACGTGCAAAGTTGAATAGGTTTTACTTCAGAATTTTAAAAATTAAAAGTCACTAGTTATCCTCCTCGTACGACGACGAAACTGAGATATTATCAACGAAAGGGTATTGAAAATAAGTTAATACTTTAAATTTCATTAATTTAATATCTTTGGTCGGACATTCTATATCGATATAGAATTTAAATTGACCATTTTACCGATTAACCAAAACGTCATCATTGTTCCAAGGCCCTATCAAATTATAATGCAGAAATAAGAAAACGTGAAATTAACCTCCTCTAAATGAACTATGGAATTTCCTAGCATTAAAAAAATGCGCTTGTTTGCTACAATACGAAGATCTCAATCAATAGCATAGTGTACAATTTCTATTACCTTAATATTTATATTTCCTCTAGGCTGTAACTCATAATGGCCGGTGGATGATAGAATATGGTAAGAGGCTTCGCTACAATGTATCTTGGAAGCTACGAAAGCAAATAAAGTAAACCATTACCAATTCTATGTCTGTTTCAAATTTATGCAAAAAGCTGTATTATGAATTCACATTTTTCTTACATTATTGGTAAAAATGTGAACTAGTAATAAATCTCAATTAATCATTTGGATCCATCACAAGGAAAACAAGAAAATATATTTATACGAGAAACTATAATGATAATTATGTAATCAAATATTTCAGCTTTACTCTCGTCTTATACTGTTACTTTTATATTTACAACGAATATTGTTGCCAGCGTAATGTGAGTATAAACTCAATTATGAACTTAGATTGAAGAACGAAAAGTTACAGCCACCTTATTGTTTCAGTAGATAGTAAAGCATAGTAAAATGAAAAAAGTTTTTCTGCGCTGTATAACGTACATTGCATTTGATAGAGGCTTTCTATAATATTTGCTTTCAATTCGTCTATACTTTAATTACATTGTGAGAAAAATACTAATAATCGCGATTGAGGAGACCAACAGACCAATTATACTAGTGTTTTATTTGAAAGTCTTTTATTTATTAAAGAACCATAGAGAAAGATACTAATAATCGCGATTGGGAGACCAACAGAAAAATTATATTAGTGTTTTATTTGTAAGTCTTTTACCGATAAAAGCGCATTTTAGTTTATATTATTTCTGAATTCTTGCCCTACTTACGAATATCTAACTTCGATAAACTAAAATAGCATAGTTAAACAGCTATTACAATAGATTTCGTTGGCACATTATAATCAGTAGATTTTTAAATATTAATATCCATTATCTTAATATTGCTACTCTACTAGATTTAGAATGTAAGGCATAAGCAACTTTACAACAACGGCAAAAAAATGCGTAATAATCTCACCTTCTCCGCTAGATTCCATCCTGGAGGCAGTATTCACAGTATCGCCAAATAAACAATATCTGGGCATTTTCCTACCCACTACGCCAGCAACACAAGACCCTATAAAATTTCAATAAATTCAAGTCAATTTTATTTAAATTACCTAGTTAAAGTTATACAAATAATGATATTAAACAGTTTTGGCCAAGTTTTTCAGAACCTGAATGAATTCCAGCGCGAAGTTGTAATACAAGATCAGGATTATGTGGAACTTTTAAATTTTTAATGATTGCTAACAACGCTAGTGCCATATTAGCAATTTCAATAGCATGCTGATTTTTAGGTAATTTTTTAGGTAAGCCTGACACAACCATGTATGCATCACCGATTGTTTCTACTTTATAGACATGATAATGTTCAATTTCACTATCAAATTGGACATATAAATAATTTAACATTTCAACCACTTCCATAGCAGTGCTTTCATGGCAAATTTGAGTAAATCCAACAATATCACTAAAATATAGCGTTACATCATCGTATGTTTCAGCCAATACATTTTTTCCATGTTTCAACTGTTCAGCAACTGATCTTGGTAGCATCTGACATAATAGACTATCCGTCTTTTTTCGTTCCCTATTTAATTTTCTAGTTTTATCCGCTAAATTGCTAGCATATAATTGAATACTACTTGTTAATGTCGTTGTTAGATACAGTAGCAGCGGACATACAATGACTACACTGATTAATAAAGCCAGGGAAATTATAAAATTATTGGTAGCAGCTTGGCTAATTTTACTCGATTCATTCAAGATAAATTGTGTTGTTTTTTCTTGTAGTATTGATAAACGATAAATATAATTAGTCATATTCTCAAACCAAACGTTGGCACTCATGACAGAAGGTGAATGATTAACGTTAGCTGATACTTTTCGACGCAATATAGTCAGCATAGCGAGAATACCGGGAATAGCAGGATCTTCGTCATATTTTCCTTTTACAAAATCTGAATACTGTTTAGCCGATATTATATGCGTTTGGCCTAGTTTTAATTTAGAATAATATTGCAATAATTCAATATGAGTTAAATGGGTTTGAGAAAAAAAGACAGCACCCAATGCTCTTTCCACACCAGTCTCTTCTGCTCCGCTTAATAACATCTGATAAGCTACTAAATGATTCCATAAAGTCTCACTTTTAGTATAACGTAAACCATCAGTAATCACGGATAAAAGATTGGCAACAATATCGGAATAGAAGGTTAATTCTTGGAAAACAGTTGTATTCGCTGTATCAACAATACTGTCGCGATGATGTGTAAGATAGTTTAGAAGTATCGTCCCATTTTTTAAGTAACCAACTGATGTATTGCTCGAAGGCCATGGTTTGATATCATTAATAGCGTCATCGGTTTCTATTCTCTTTTTAATTACTGATTTAAATGCGAAGTTATTAAATTTACTGCTTACGAAAATAACGGTCTTACCACGTTCAACCTGTAAAGTTTGAATTAATTTAGCCAATCTGATCCCAATTGCAGCATTCTCTTTAACTTGATTGGCTTGATTATATCTTGAAATATCCTTGACTAACGCTGATATAGTTACTGCAGCTAATGCTATGCATGGAATTAAAATTAAAGTCACCATTTTTAATGATTGGATACGTCTACCAAATAATTTTGTTGGATCATCGTTCATACACTGCCTTCGACTATTCACTTTGGTTATAGCCAACGATAAGTCGTTTAAACTCTCTTCTCCTTCACTGTTACCGAAAATATCGGAATACTTGTTCGCTGGATTAGAAAGAGTAAAATGGCGAGTCGGAAGTTGATCGGTTTCTAGGTCCATGACTTTCCTTTCAATTCGTTTTTTTTTTATTATAAATTTTAAAGATTGGAACAATTTCAATTTTATCACCTTATGATACCAATAGATGATGATTGACTTTACCAAGAATCCTATTATTAAACCAAAAAATAATACAAGGAAATGAATTTAACTTCCACTAAAACTAAGCATTATATTGGGTCTAAAATATTAAAAGAACATCATATGATATTTTCTTGTTGATCTTAACTGAAAAACTGGCTTAGCTAATTTAACAGCAATAGATAGGTAAAGTAAAATCGATCCAACGAAAGATATTGCAGATTTACTTCACCAAATGTCCTAATATGCACTCTTAAAATGATTATCAGGATGACTACCAAGTCTTAATGATTTTGCATGGCATATTGAATCATATTTTGGAAACTAGTGTACATTTACAAACTAGGTATCAAAAACAAAATCTAAATCATATGATCATACAAGCGTAATATTGATAGAAAATTGATGATAATGATCTTTAAATTCAGTTTATCCCATTGTTTAAATCCTATGCAGAATAAGGTAACTTACTTTATTGTTTGAATTTCAGTATGACAATATTGTGTCAAGGCAAAAAAAGCTGAATGTTGTTTAAATTTAATGAAATTAGATCAGTAGAAGATGAATAAAAAATATTTTTTTAAAGTGCAAATTAATCGATCAGCTTATGTCAAAGACTGCCAACACATCGATCTTCATTAATATCTGATGTCATTATACAATTCGAAATTTGATGGCACTCCACTAGTGACTGATTGCGTCAGTGTTCGTTCATTTTAAAAACAGACAATAGTTTGGATTAATAATAACATTTTCTATTTCGACATCGACTAAGTAATTGTGGGTGCATTTGTTAGCTCCCGCCCCTTCTTCCACTTTTCCCTCGAATAAAAATGGGGTTGTATCTTTATGTCATTCGGCATTATAGTAATTATCCTATTGCTGTCAAATTTTAGCTATAAGAATAAAACTCTTTGATTGGTACATACTGGGCGTAATACGAGTATGATAATATACATATCAATAACATTATACGCTATAGCATACTGCAACTATCAGAAATGAATCAAATTAATATCTCATAGTTGTATCTTCTTAATCAGATCTTTAGTCCCCACAACTATTGACCACACTGATAAATAATAACTTCATTGCATTTTTTTAACCATAATGGCTGAATGGTTCTAATTTTAAGTACATTCAATTAGCTACAGAAATAGGTTCCTATTAGCTCACATAGACACGAAATGAAATAAAGATTGGATGGCATCAATAATTACTATTTATAACAGACTATTAAGTGCCTTGAAATCATATTTCATGTCATATTAGTAAATTTTAGGTTAATGTTGTTCACGCAAAGTTAAGAAATAATACATCTTTATCTAAGGTTATTATCAATTTTCAAGAACAATTTTACAAGCTTAGGTTTGAAATCCATGTATATTTTGTGATTTATACCTGATGCTCGCTTTTAGTTGTATTAACTTTTACTATCCTTCAAAATCTATTAAATTTCTAACGTACAGTAATGTTAGGGATATAAATGTGACCGATGATGTAGTTTCAGCTTTGCAAATCTCTCTTTCTCCATTTATGATACAGAAATCATATTGTAATAGGAACTTCCTAACACTTATTGGATACTTACTATAGGAAATTTATTTCAGCTTAGCTCGGATCAATTATGGTTGTTGTCGTAAATTTCAGCTGACCATCAACACTAAGTAAGTTTGTAACAAAATTATACCATTATCTTATTATCAAACTTAATAGCAGCATGTCTGTGCAAAAAAAAATCCTACCTGTAATCTCTAATAACCAAAATTTAGAAAAGCTTGATTTCCTACAAATTTGTCTTCTACATGTATTTACGGTAGATTTACAAGCTGACTAATAAATTTAGATCAGCGACCAATCTTTAAAAATAATTTAAAACAAAAAAAATTATTTATTAATTCTAATCTAGTCTATTGTTATCAGTTATCAATAGACAGCAATGAATGCACATGAATAATATAATTATTTTCACCTGCTTAGCTAAATTTATATTAAAATTTATTCTGTCGTCATCAATAGCTTTTTTGGTATATCTAGCATATAATGATTTTAACATTTCATAAGTATCCTGTTGAGCTCGATCTATTTTAACTTAATTTTATTAAAATTAAAATCATTGCTCTGCTATCGTAAGTTTAAGAAATTCTATCAAAAAGTAACCATTGCATTTATAATTAACTTTCGATATTTAGACCGTAATCAGCTAATCTTTCGCTATGTATAAATATCAGCAACAGAAATACCGATTTGGTAACATATTCAGTGAGAAATGTGTTTCCATCATTGTTATCAAATAATTTTTGTCGTGAAGTTGGCAATCTAAATACCGCAGCTTGTATATTAACTTACTAAAAGAACAATAAATTAAGTTCACAATCAAATTCTATGTCCACCAGTTATCTTAAAATGTATTTGTGAAAATTAATTAATTAGCTTTAAATGCTATAAATGTTACTTTATTAAAAATATAATAAACCAGCATCCTATTTTAATCATAACGATCCTTGTATATTGGTTACGTATTTTTGCCAGTTTCAATAAATTAAAACAATTCTTGCGTATTATTTGATTTGATTATTTACTGGAAACTGATATGGTAAAGAATCGTATAGATAATATTAAGCAATACATGTTGTCACAAACCTTACTTGTGGCAAAGGAAAGTAAAGAACTCTAGTGTAGTTACTTAAAACTTGGGCTATTTCTCCCAATACTTTCAGTTTCTATGAGAGAAGTATTTGAGAACTCGATTTCTCGGCTGATCTCCACAGACAACTGACTAATTATTACACTATTCTTCACGATATGAGTCTTGCCGTTTCTTGAGCAATTACTTACTTTATTCTACAAACACACGCGCTTAAATAGGTTTCTACAGTGAATTCCAATATTAACGAGTGAGAATTCATGCTTTACAAGTTACATTAATTAGTATAATACCATTACTAAAATATACATGTCGATATTCTCAGACTAAGATAGCTACAAGCTATCAGGTGTTAAGACGCTTAACCTTCGTCCATATACAGCTCAATTTTTAGAGATTAACACACCTTATAAACCTACAGTAAATTAACTGCCAACAACTTCTATTTTTATCTCATTTCTACCATCCTATTATCAGCTACAAGCACATTAAAACATAGCACATAACCTTATCTTATCTATTCATAAGCATTCATTAATTTACAGTTACTTAATTAGTAACGGCGTACCGTGACACATGTCAAAAAATGTTGAATAACATATTATCAAATAAATTGCTAAGAAAAACACTAGTTTATTAATATATTATTAAAATGATTGCTTTACATTAAAATTGAAGTATTTCAAGTAATGAAGCTAAATATAATTCTTTTTAGCTATTTGGTGTCACCTCCATTTAAAGTCGTTACATAGCTGTTCACTTGTTCCACTTTATTTGATAAATCTGCCTTCTATTCTCTAATAGCACTATATTTAGACAAGTAGTCGCGAAGTCGACTTCGTATGTTCTACACAGAACCTATATCGTAGAATCCGATCTTATTATGTTTAAAGATCGATAACTAAATTTTCAGATAATGATTTACAATTTTCTGATGTAGTTTGATTTACTATTATTGTTATGACCAACTTTAAATATATCTAAAATAAAATAAATTCATGCTACAAGTAAGCTTTGGCAGAAATTTGCACACAATAAAACTTTTTACTATATTTAATATTTTAATGTTGTCTAAATC